GACACGTTGGAGGAGAACGCTTCGCGCTGTTTCCGTGGCGGTTTCTTTCGCGGTGTTGTTACTTTGGTTCCGCGGTTGTGATGCGGGACTGCGTGGGCGACCGCAGTGCGGCATTTCTAACCCATGCGACGGTTGATTTCACGGATCGAAGGGATGGCCCGCCGCCGAGAGCCCGAGCTGCTGGCAGGAATGGGGGTCCTCATGTTTGTGCCTCCTCGCACAGAGGGTTATCAACAACAATGTTTTGTCAGACAAAGAAACGGAAATCATTGTTTTTTATTAGTCGCAAGGGCTTATGAAGAGTGCCTTTTCAGACAAACTAAACACCACAGTGAACGGGGGTTCTCCCTGATCAATACCCTTACGTGCTTTGCACCGCCTTGGCTGATGTGGCTGTCTTGGAGTACAACAGCAGTAGCATTTTGTGCTTTTGTGGATGTTGAAAACAAGCCAAACGTTGCTATCATTTCAACCGGATGATTGAAAAATTGTGCATGCATGACTTCATTTTGTACTCACAAAATCACATGATCTTAAGATCATGTGCTGATGTCTGCCTTGGCGATTGCAGTGCCTATATGTGTGCCTGGCATGCGTTGTAGGGGATCTGTCTGGCGCTTTCAAAGAGTGCAGGTTCGAACCGGACAGGGCGGCGAACTATGCACTGGAGTCATGTGTCACAGATGATGAAGACAACCAGGCATGCTTCCGAACATTCTTTGGCAAGAACCAGAGCCAGTGGGAAAAGAGGTGAGCAACGGATGCATCAGCACTGAGTCCTGACTCTGCGGGAATGGGATTTTCAGTGTCTTGGGAAGCGTAGATGAGCAAGCTGATATCCATTGAAGAGTTGCTGTGGTCTAGAGGCTTGCATCTTTTCATACTCACACATTTTGGTGGCGCTGCTCAGGCCTTGGAATGATTTTGTCAGCACAAGGCTGTTCAGGGTGGATGAGAGAGATGCCACAGTGGGTGATACTGTGGAGTATCTGCTTGAAAACCCTTATACCAATGCTCGGGCGCTTGTTCTGTGGGGAAGCAGCCAGGGTTTGCAGAGAGAGGTGAGGCAGTGTGCCCTTCTGAGATTAATTCAAAGTAGATATTGTTTGTCAGTCCCAAATGCCTGTGTTTGTGATGCAATGTGCAGATGTGGGTTGCGCGGCAGACTGAATGATTGAATGTTTGTTGTTCACGGTCCCTGGCTAAATGCGGTAATTATCATGCAGGGGTGCATTCTTTAAAGAATGCACCACCGCATGATAATTTAATAATAATAATAATGGTAAAGAATATCGTATGGCAGATTATCAACCTTGTGCAAAATAAATGCTGTTAGATACTGTTCACATCTGTTCGCTCCCTGAGTGTTTTGGGCATTTTACCCCATGGAATAGGCTTTACATGCCACCTGTGAAGTGCAGAACAACACACAACAGCAAAACTGAACTTTAGTTCCCAACTCGAATATTGGGGGGCCTCAGATGATGAAAGCTGTGCATTGTCTGGGTATGATCTGGTTTTAAACGTTGTGGTATTGGACATGCTCCCGTTGCAGGTGATTTCCTTGCCTGACAAGCAACTTGCGAACTTTTCGATTCCCGTTGGACCCGAGTGCGTTGCTGGCTGCTCCGTTGCCGTCCATGTCAACATTCCCAGGCAAGAAGCCGGCACTTCCAACCCTGTTGGAATCCCGACGACTACATACTTCGATCCAGACATGCCCCAGACACAAACAGTCAGACAAGACATTACTGTTGGGCAGGTGAGTTCTTGATGTTGATCGGGTGCTGCACCTATGCTTATGAATTCATGGCAGTCCTCTGCCTTTTTGTTGAAAATTGACGAAGTGTTATCCTTGCACCTTTCAACCTTCAAGGCGATCACGGTGGAAAGTGTTCGTTTTGTCCTTGGGAAATCAGGCTCAATCTGGAGTCAGGAGTTGGATTCTGAACTCAACAGAGACACATGCCGTGACCATTGTGTTATTGCTCTTGTTGCTGTACTGCACGCATTTATTGCTTACGTCTTTCGTTCCTGACACGTCAGAGAAGGACACATGCCGTTAGTTATGACATGTTGGAACAAAAGACTGGAAGGAGTGACTGCAGAGCAGGGGGTGGCCTTTGGGCCAGTTAGGTCGTTGAGTGTTGTTCTGCACACTTGCATAAACATGGGCTTGGCAAATGCAAGAATGCTCTCCACAAAACATGCATACATCGTGTGCTGATGACTGAACAGGGTCACGCACATTTCTGTGATCATTGGCATATGGCACACAAACCAAGCCTCCAGAATGGTGAGGCCAAATGCTTGCTTTTGCTCTGATTGCCCTGTCAGAACTTCGGCACCAGATTGAAGAGGCCCCTGGGCCGGGATTCCTTTTGAAGTTATTCTGGTTGAGACATTAATTGTCAAGGAAGCCTTCACAGCTCTACACCCAGGTACCATGAAAGAGGCCAGATATATCCTAGAAAACTCTCATGGTGTGTGAGCAGAGGCTGAGAAGTCTTGTGCCGTCAGGACTTGCGTGTGGACATCGAGCTTTCGTTACCGGAGCTCTCAACGCCAGCAAACGAAGCTACTCCAGTTCTCAGACCCCAGGAGTCCACTGCCATCGAAGTCAGCATCAAGGCCTGCGGGTCGCAGAATGACAACGAGACATGTGCTCTAAAGGCCGACGAGGCTGTGGAATTTACTGTCATGGCCATCGACAAGGCTATCCTAGAACTGGTTCCACATGGACTTAGGGACGTCGCTGCGGACTATGTGTTCAACCTGGGACTCAGTTTTGACGTGGCTTCATCGTCCGACATCCTTCATGCGCCAGGGGCCATCACAGGACTGGTTGAGAAGTTCGTGAGGGAGCAAGAGGAAAACCCTTGGGCCAGTATAGACAGCGAGGTGAGGTGCTGAGCCTGGCTGTTGAATTAGGAGCTGGAGCAAGGAGCAAAGCACCAAGTTGTGAAAGGAGGCCAATAAGTGAAGTACAAAACAGCACCCAGTGTGCCTGTCTGCCCAGCTGCAGACTCGCCATGGAATTGTTGTATGGGGGACTGTCCCACCATAGTTTGGGGCAATCCAATGCAAGGATGATTGCTGTGTTTTACTTGTGCCTGGTTTCCTATTTATGCAGTACCTGTGAGCAAATGTGAGAGCAAATATGCTTTCCTGCTTGTTTGCATCACTTACATCTGCCAGTCTTGGCAATGTCTGTCATTGTGCCAAGTGTCATGTGTTTCTGGAATCATTGGCATTTCGTTTCTGTCTGTTCCAGACCATGCTGATTTGTCGGTATAAAGAATCAACAGCCGCTTATTTTAAAATTCCATATCAAGATTATAAATGATGGGCACAGACAGCCTCACCATGTTGTTGAAAGTTGGATCAAATCCAGTATTGCACTGTGGGATTGGGTACTGGGTTCTGCGTAGTGTGGCTCTCATGGAATTTATGGTGTCTACATATGTACTTCTGGTGGATGTATATGGCTGGAAGTGCTTTGATTAAGGGCGAGTAGATGAAATGCAATGAAGCACAAGAAAGTAAGGCGATGTACTGGTGTCAATTGCTTTCCAAATGTACCGATCGAGGATTGCACCGTTTGAAGGAATTGCCCGGAAAAGTGTTGTATGTATGGTGTATGGCATGACTGCCTTTTTCCATAGCTGCAGGTCTTTGACAGATGACCAAGCACTGCACTTTTGCCATAAATATGCAGCAAACTCTGAGTTGCTGGCAAGCAAAATGGGCAGGGATTAGGAACAATTTTGAAGTAATTGTTTCAATTATCCTTTAAAGTCAGACCTATGCTTCTGCCAAAATGCAAGTTTATCTACCCCCATAGATGCTAATGCACTCAAAGGAATGCTTCCAACATACATTTAAGCTCAACTGCGGCCTTGTCGATCAGCGCATGTGACACATGTCGTGCTTTTCCATGTGCAGCTGCTGACGCCTGGTTCTGGGTACTTCGGATACTACGACGATGTATATGACAGCTACGATTACTTTGATGATGAGCTTGCAGAATTTGGTACAGGCGCGGTTGCTTTTGCAGTGGCATCTGGAGGTGCAGCACCGGAGAGTGCTACAGTGGCGAAATCTGTTGCACGGACTGCACCAGCACCACCCCCATTCGCTCCAGCCCCAAGTGCCGATGCCGAAGTTGAGTCAGCAGGTGCCTCAGGTGGTGCCGGGGCGGCACTCCGCAGCCAGGCAGATTTCATGGCCACTCCTCTTTTTGTTACCGTCAATGCAACAGACAATGGATCAGGTGCAGTGAACTTCACTGCTCCAGACAACCTTGGCACATTTGTTGTCAGGGCTTATGCCGCCACAGGTGGGTGCAGCTTCTTTTGTGTACAAAAGTGGGATCGTGGCATGCAAGGGAGACATTGATGGCGTGGATCCACGGTTGCGTGGGCACAGCCAAACCTTGTGTTGGGTGCTGCTGTCACCCACCATCGCTTGTCAGATGCAAGGGCTTTGATTTCTATGTGCTCTTAGTGAGGTGGGCAGCATGGGTCACACACAAGGGGCACCCCCTCCTGACAAAGATGCATCTGTTGCGTGAGATTGACGCCTACACCATGGAAATCGGTCCACATGCCACCATACGCAGCAGCAGAACAGTGCGATCAGGAGTTAAGGATCCGTTGGTTTTTGCTGGTGGTACGTGCTATCAGGTTGGGCCAAGGAAAACTGATGCCATGCGGTTATGTTCCTTGCAGCCAGCCAGCAGTTGTCCATTTTAAAAACAGTGGCTCAGCCCCAACCAGTAGAGCATCGGGTCACAACCATCCCCCCAGAAGAAATTTCCGAGTGCTTGTATCACAGGAATGGTCTTCAGCTGCAAGTGGGTGCTATTGCGTCGCAAGTGAACACCCTGGTGTTGTGCGTGCTCTCAGATAAAGCCCGCTTCGGCAGTGTGGAAACAGAGGTCATCGTGCGCAGGAAGCTGTCGCTCACGCCTTCTGCGCCTCGGATCGTCAGGGTGGGTGATGCCTTTGAGGCGGGCGTCATCGTCACGATTTCGGGAGGATCTGTTTCCGATGTGCCCATCACCATGGACCTGAAGCTTGAGGACAAGTCCCAAGAGCTTCTGTCACTGACGACAGAATCGGAGAGGCAGATCGTGACAGATGCAGATGGTCAGGCGGAAGTTCGTTTTGGACTGCAGGCCGAGGCTTTGGGAGAGGCGAAGTTCATCATAAGCGCTGGTGAGGATTGGGTATGTGTTGATGCTGCTGCAATTATGCTGACACTGAGGAGTTTTTGGCAGTATCAGCAGTAGGTTTCTAGTAGCCTTTAGAGTCCATTCACAGCTGCACTAGGCTGTCCCACATGGATTCTGTATGGATGTGTGACTCACCCTGGCGTGATAATCTGTTCTTGCAGTAGTTTAGAAGGTACATCAGGAAGGCTTTACTGGCACAGTGTGGTTGTAATTAGAATCCCACTCATTTGTTGGTGTATGTAGTATGTACTCGTGTTCTACACAGCATAGGTGTTGGCAATGGTACACATTTGTAGAATGGGGCTGATTTGTCAATGCACTCTTGGAAGTTGCAAGCGATGTCATGCTGAACCAAATGACAGGCATTCCCTCACCTGCACATGTAGCAATGTCTTATGCTCACAGGTAGCTGCAGGGGCTGCTGCTGCAGTGCTGGGTTACCCGAATATGCCCTGCTTATTGTTTTGTGCATGGCTGTCCAGGTGATGGCTCAGGCTCTGGCGATGCACTGGAGCTGGAGTTGCCCATCCTTGGGCTCCAGGATCCTGTCACTGTCGCAACGTCTTTTGCAATACAGGCGGCAGAAAACGAAACAGCGACTGCCGTGGAAGGGCTTGACCTTCCAGCCGCACTGCCTGGCACTGGTGGCATTGAGCTTCAGGCGGGCGTGGGACGATTGCCAGCAGTCCTTGCCAATGCACGGCAGATCATGGAGGCAAACGTCAAGTACGCTGCGAGCACAGATTCTCACTGTGTTACCAGTTCAGGTCCCGTCCATCATGCCTCGATCGCATATTGTTCAGCTGTGAAACTAGCAAACAAACTTTGGGCAAGTGCTGCTTGAGCTGTACCATCAGCTTGAACACTGTCAAATGTGTCCAGCACCTAAAATGGACTGTCTGAGACACCATGTGTGCAGTGAATTCAATTTTTTGCCTTTGACAACGCCAATGGAAATGAGCAGAGAAAGTAGTCTGTTGATGCCCTTGTCAAATATGTACTCAACAGGCACTGAAGTAGCTGGTCCACAGCATTTGCTTGTTGCACGCTGTGTTCCTGGTCACAGCAACTTTGCATGTCATCCAGTACTGTATGGACAGCTTGGCGAACGTTTGCAATACTAAGCATGTTTCTGTTCACCTGAATCACCGCCTGATGCTGGCATTGCTTGCTGTTTGCTGCAGCCATACCTGCCCACACGATGGCTCCCTTGAGCTCGTCCACACTGTCGTTCCTGCAGCACTGCAGATGTACAGCCTTTACACCCCCGATGAAGACGAAGAGCAGGACAGGGCAACTGAAGCACTGTTGGCCACCTCAGGAGCGAACTTCTCTCTGGCCCTCCAGAATCTCGCAGTTGACAACTTGACACATTCTGAGTTTGGGCTCAGGTGGTGGATCGCCTGCCCTCCTCTTCGGCCCAGAATGGGTCCACTAAGGTCTGCCAGCATCTACCTGAATGCCCACGCCGTATGGCTGCTGGACTCTCTGCAGGACCTGCTGGAAAGCACTGACCAACAGGTACATTGCGCATCCTGAGCACCAGTTTGGAGCTGCAGTTGACAAGGCTTAGATTCTATGCCAATGCTGTGGGTGCTTAAGTCTATGCAGGAGAAGTGCTTCTTATGGATTTCTTACCATGCATGAGCTGGTGTTGAATCGTTTTGCATTGTTAGTTCATGTCCCATATATGCTTGCAATGGGCCCCATGGGACGGTCTTGTCATTGCACCTGCGTACTGTTTTGTTGGTGGTGGTATCCTACCAGTAAGCGTACTCACTTTTAGCTCACAGCTTTGAAAGAAAGCAGCTGCAAAGCATGGGCATGAGAGGCAGAACCTCAGGGGTGTGTTTGAAACTGGCAGTCGCAGCATTGCCCCCCTGATCATCTCAAACAATGTCGTGTCAATTAATATCCCACATGGAACCTCCAATGCTGAGTCGGTGTCCACACTGTTTTGAACACTTAGAATTGTGTTCCCATCTGTTGACCTTGTTGATTCTGTCTTGTTTGGCTGCACAGGTGTTTCTGGAAGGTGCAGGTGCTCTTAGAAAGCTGTCTGATGAGCACTGGAGACCTGCGCTGGCGACCCAACTGGTCAGGGATGCCCAGGAATCGCGATCTAGGCGATTTTTTCCAGGACCCATCAGATTGTCGACTGTGGCACTGGCCAGGTGACCTCATCAGATCTATCTGGCAATTGTATCTCCCCAGAATTGTTAACTTCTTCTTTTTAATGGACCATGTACCTTGTGTTTAAAAGTATGAGTAATAGGTGTTTCATAATGTGTTTGATACAGCAGACAGTGCGATGTCTGTAGTGCTGTGCACATTTGGCTTGGCACAATGCCTTGTGCCAACTGCCCTGTTTTTGATGTTCCCTGCCTGCTGTGCAGTCTGGTCCCTGTGGAATCATGGTCAATGTACACAACAGATTTTCGTGATAACCGAAATTGGGCTGCAAATACTGTATTGGCAATTGTCAGTGAGCTTGAGACACACTTCTTGTGATTTTGTAGTTTCGTGTAACAGAACAGGGCTTGCTGCTTGGTTCAATTCGGAGAAGCATCTTATTTGCCTTACAACAATGTGGAATGAAACAAAATGACAGGGCAATAATCCAACCAGACATTGGATAGCGATATCACAACAGAGCTGCACTAGAAATCAGTCAATGTGTGGTAAGTGATGTGTTGTGTTGGAGATCGCAGCAGTCAGCGTTATTCGGAATGTTGTCGAAAATGTGTCCTCCGCAAGACATCAAAAGCTCATCCCGTATCATTCTCTGGTTCAGGCTGGGCCTTGGAAGAGATTGGGCACCTCCTGAAGGCACAGAACCGCAGATAGTGGATGACATTTCCATGGAGCGGTTGGATAGGGAGTTTGGCAAGCTGGACATGGAAAGCAGGGCCTATGTCGCTCTGATTCACCTTCGCAATCAAAGCGAGGCAGGAGACGAGTTAGTTGCCCGGGCCATCGACGAGTGGACCTCGAACTTCCGTGTTGGTGGACGAACTGCCTACATCGCCACATGCAATGGCTGTGCCACTCCGATGGGTGAGCATCTGAACAGGCTGAATGCAAGAGACAGTCAAATAATCTGAAGCAAGGATTCAGTGATACAAGGCCAAAAAGACTTGGCATCCAACAGGCAGACCTCTCCTGAACAGAAATGGAATGTATGCAGTTTTCGTCTGTCTGTTTATGCAATTATGTTGCTGTCTTTCCCAGGCTGTGAAAGATGATGTAGAGTTCTCCATGGGCCACATGGAAGCACATGACGCAGGGCAGCACAAATGCCAATGAGGCATGTACTCTGTGGGGCTCCTGTGCACAGTGGGCCCCTCCTCTGACACGCGTCCCCATGCATCTCTGCCACGATGGAAATGTCGTGTATCTGAAAAGGGTACTAAATTCACCCAGAACACTATAATGTAGCCTATGTTATTCACCGGCCTGAATGCATGCCAGTGCTTAATCAAATTGCAACAACGGCACTGCACAGTAGTTTTAAATGATGTAGTCATGCTCCTCACAACTTTGTTGTTTTCCTGTTAGAAAGCCATTCACTTTGCCACTGCAAAATGCCTGCGCATGTGCAGCAAAATCTATTGTTGCGATTTCCTGATGCAGAGAAGATGCATCGGTCTCCTGTTTGCCTTGCAGCACCATTCTCTCTGCAGTCGCGCACGCCCTCAACAGGACGTATCACAATCCACCTACATCTTCTTCGTCTATCTCCTTCATTGCCATGACGGGCAAAACAAATCAGGATGATGTGACGTACTGTTGGGCGGAGTTGACGTGCTCGCTGTGTCACGTGCGCTGTGGGTTACTTGGTTCGAATTACATTTGCCAGTCAACTGCCCCTCCGACACGAAGATTCAACAGTGAGTTGCGAGCAGTATAAATGAAAAAAGAATAAATGAGTAAAAGAATAAATGAATTGAAAATGAGAGAATGTGACGAAACTGGTGGATTGCACGCAGGGTTGAAGGGGAATGCGCTTGTGCTGCTTACAATGACTCGTGCAGGGCAGGCTGTGGGGCCATTCAGAGAGAAGCTGGCCAACTATGTTGCCAGCCCCCCTGCTGGCCGATACGCATACTTTGCAGACTACATCGAAAAGATAGTGGCAATGCTGGCTCTTGGAGAATATGATTTGGCGAGAGGCTCAGCAGACCCAGATCTCGGGCTGGTGGTCACGAGTGGAGATGTTGAGTTGCTGCAAGTAAGAGTTGGCACCAAGCAACTTCGTTTTGTCTGCAACTGCCAACATTGAGCAATACTTTGTGATGGGTTTTGAAGAGGCTGCTGTCAGCCCTGGCTTCCGTGTTGTCGCCTTTGTATGCTACTGAATTGCTGGAGTTCTTTGTATGCTCAGTGATTCTGTGCACTGACCTGGCCCATAAAACGAATAAGGCAACGCTCAGTTGATGGCTGAAAAGCTGGCGTTCACTGTCTTGCAATGCTCGTTAGGACTAGGCGATGCTTGTGCTCTTGGTGGAGAGGGCACAGGATACTGCAGCCTGAGGTCATGGCCCTGAGTGTTTGTTTTGCATTTTGACACACAACGAGCGAGTTTTCCACTTGCTTCCATTTCGAATTTGTGGTCGAAAGTAAATTGATCCACGTCTTGCGCACAGGCTGAATTCACGTCGCCTCAATCTCCCATGGTGGTTACGGGAACCTCGTGGTCTGTTCTGAATCAACCCCCAGCGCCCCTGGAATTCTCAGTGGACGGGAAGGGTGAAGTCACCATTGCTGCACTGCTCAATTTCGTTCCTGCAGAGCCGCTGCCGTTCCCAACGTACAGGGGCATCTACGTGGAGCAGGCCATTCAGTTGGTTAACGGGTCATCCCAGTTTGATGAACCGATGGGTGCTCCTCTGTCGACAGTGCCTCTGGGATCAATCGTGATCGTCACCATCCAGGTATTGTGTCTTTATTGCAAGTCTGATATGCGCCTGTACATTGGCTGCCCCATCAGCTGACGCGGAATATGGGGTTATTGGATGGAATAAACAAGACGTGTGGTGCACTGTCCTGTTCCTTTTTTTTGCTACTGCGTGGCTGCTGCTGTCTTCTGGGTGCCGTACATTATTCCATCTGTCTGCATCGCGTCATCGCTGCATCTGATGCTGCTGTCTTTTTGCATGACCTTTGTGCGTTTTGTTCAGCAGCAGCAGATTTTGAACATGTGGAGTCCGTGGCAGCTGTGGACAAAGCACTTTCCGCGGCTCCTTGCTTCTTGCCAATGTGGCGTTGCTTTTGCTGCAAGAGCACGATGGGGCTCGTTAGTTTGTTCAATCGCAGCTGCTGGATCTTCAGTTGTCATTTTCAATCTCCCTATAATGCATGGCCGTGATTCTGTGCAGATAACGACGCCCGATGCCCTGGATGCAACCACCGTCCGTATCCTGATGCCCGGCGGCCTGGAACCCGTGGATCCCAACATTGAAGGCGATTCGTTCGGAGTTTGCGCCCTCCCATTCTTTGGAGTCTTCAGTTCCTTTCCGTATTTCAATTGCCCAGACCAGGTGCGCCGCGCTCCTTTATTAAGTAAATACCCCCCAAACAAGGAGGAGGCATACGGCATTATAAACGCCGTTGCTTTCTCGATGTTCGGTACCGTTGTGCTTGAAGATTTTGTAAAGCTGTGCCCTGGCGCCATCAGAAAGGGTCGCCGCACAGTTGCTGTTGCCATTCTCACACCCCGAGACCTCCTAACAGGTGAATGGGCAGTGAACTGTCCTTTTTCAGTAAATGCAGTAAGTAAATACGTGCTCCATTCTAAATCTTGCCCATCTGTGCGCCTTGCAGGAGACGCTGCCCTCTGTCGTCACCTTCCGTTACAATCGTCTGAGAGCGGGCACCCACGTGATGCGCGTCCGAGCCGTGGCAGCCACACCCGGCGTGTTTGGCCTGCCTCCCACCGCCGCGTTCGTCAACTCCCAGCCAGAGCTGATGGGCCTCAGCCCCGCCGGGAGCTTTGAAGTGTGTGACGGAGAGGGCTGCGAGGCTGTGCCCCTGGGGCCCGCTCGGACACCCAAGGCTTGTCCCCAGGACTGCAACAACAACGGGCTGTGCGACCTGGACAAGGGGACCTGCCTGTGCTTCGAGGGCTTCACTGGGGACGCATGCGGCGCGTTTGTGGAGACCTGATGTGCAGTGGAAACACACCTCAGTTACATTCGAACACCCTTGGCGGTTGCCTTTCTGTGCACGCAGGTTTCGTGCATTAGAGTGTGCTGGAAATCGAACGACGTTGAGCTTACCCGTGGTCATTATTCGTTGCATTGCTGGGCTGTGGGGAGGGCGATCTGAGAATAAAGCATTTTTGCCATTGAACAGATGTGAACGCGATCTGAATTTGATGCTCGAGTCATCATCATCACCATCGAGTGGAGTTGGGTTTAGTGAACGCTATGTAATTAAGGAATTCGTCATCATCATCATCATCTCTGATGCCTCCATTGCCCCCAGTTAACAGCCACCTCTGTACATGAACCTCTCTCGCCATGGACATCTCTTTATTTGGCTTCCGACCTACATCGCCGAAAGGTGGCACAGGTTCTTGACATCATGTGTGTGCTGCTGGGAGCGGAGTCGAGTTTAGTAGTGAATGCTATGATAATTCATTGTCATCATCATCATCATCATCATTTTCACAGAACAAGACCGTGAGGTAGCCGTCAGCTTCTATTGTGCCCTAGCAAAGCAGAGTCTTTGATCAGTTCGTTGAAATCTGTGACTCCATTGACTCCTAATGCCTGGAAGCGATTGTCGATGATAACACACAAAAAGAAGTGTCCTCGCGAGTTGGCGAGCAGGAAACGAAGCAAATAGGGTTTTTGCATTGCGACATCCAAAAAAATATTATTAATAACCCCAGAAGTCCCTGAATATGCCGAGTCAGCGCCCTGTACCGCAGCATTCGCAGCGTTTCAAGCTGTTGTGCGGTTGGCCTGAGTGACAATCATTGTATGCGCCGTTGCGTTGCAATAACAATAGATATATTGTCACGCCACATAGGCTGCATCAATCGCGATTTATGGCAACTCTCCGCATTAATTTGGTGCGATCGCATTCGCACAGGTTGGGGGAGCGTGTTGAGCAGGATGGTGAATCTGCAGATTGGCAGGGGTGCCCTGTTGTCTGGCGGGAACATGACGGTTGGGCTCTGCTAGCCTTCAAAGCAGAAGTTGATGGCAACTGGCGATGTTGGCGCTGCCCACAAGGCACTTGCGTTCGGCCGATGCCCATCGCCTGTAAGGGAAGACGCTATGTCGATTTTGGTACGCTTAGCGTCAATTTGACGTCAAGCTCAGACCTACCCCCCTCTTTAGCGTCAATCCTTGTGTCGAAGCCGGGATGACTCAGCAACATTACATAACAATGGTATTCAACTTCCAGGTGTTTCTAAGGAGAAAAGTAATGCCAGTTGTGCTGATTGCAGTGGGCTGGAAAATGGGATTCTAAATGCCGATATGTTAAAGGCGGGCAGCCTCAACGGCTGCAAGTTGATCCATTCTGAGGCCTTCTTTGAAGACCGAGCACTGTCAGGGGTTGTTTGCTGTTTATCGGCGCGTTTTGGGCCAACTTTTTTCCTTATGTCGATTTTGTGTCAATTACGCACTAGTCTGGGCACCTCCCCAGCGTCAATTAGATGCTAATCGTACCAAAATCGACATAGCGTCTTCCCTAACGTACAAGACATTGCCACAATGGAGTGCGCTCATTTGCTCTGTTATCAATTGCTCCAATGCAATAGTATATGGTCGACAACGAGTCGGACCCTAAATCCCGTTCTTACCCCTTTCCTTGTCTCACCTAAGCCGAATTTCACTCTCCAGGGCGAGACAGTGGGGAGAGCGAAACAGGACAAGAGCGGGCACAATGAAGGGGAGCCTGAGTGTCTGCCTCCTCTGAGCCCCGCCAGAATCCTATTAGGCGTAGCTCGACACTTCCCAAGGCAAAGACATCCGATGGCTGTCCTTGGACGCCTTTGATTTGCACATACCCAAAGTGCCAGGGGACAGAATCGAAAGGGCGCCACCGCAGATGACCCTGCAAACTGCGCTGCAGATTCGATTCACCGGCGCTCCCTCGTCACCCGCGGCAGGAGGCCATCAACAGGGCAGTTGGTTTCGCGCAATAGATCAGATAAGGGACAGGTCTCAAGCTGTCCTTGTTGTTAAATTGGGTCCACGCTGCTACATCTGCAACGCTCGTGGATTTCATGACCGGATCCTTTTTGAGAGCCTTAAAATACTGGCGTCGAGACCCTCTAGCACTTGAGCAAGGCCGAATTCGGGGCTTTCAACACGGTGAAACGCCGATGCGAACAGCCTGCGGCGACAGGGAAGGGATTGCGTACGTGGTGCTGTCGCCCAACTTGCTGGTACTGATAGAGCAGTGATGCGTCCCTGGGGATGGCAGTGTGAGAAGGGCACGGAGAGACGGATGCGAGGCGGGTCCTGCAGAAGGGTTAAGGGTCAGTGGCCGTCACATCACATATCCTGAGCATAGTGACCAAAAGACAGAACTATGGCCCAAGTTGCTCAAATTGGCATGCATGGATGCCATGCGAACAATGTTCACATAATGTCTACAAGAGATCACTGCGCTGCTTGCCATGGCATGCAAGACCTGTCCGAGGGTGAGCAGCGACTTGCATCAGTTTTCAAAAGAGCCATTAGGCTCATGTCAATTGGGCAGATGGAATTAACTATCATGTTAATCGGTTTCTGCCAATTGCGACGATGGGTGGGCTGCACCGGCGATTCAAACGGTGCAGTTTGAACCTGGGGTTTACGTGAAACGGCCGGCTGCTCCCGCCCTTTGGGGCAATCAGCCGCACTCACACCGGAATTCCCAATCAAATCCCATTGGTACAAATACACTAATATACAAAGAGAGAAATCCGGAACTCGGGCATGACAGTTTTGCCTTTTCGGTCTGCGTGTCCCTAATGTTCAGGCTAAGAAAACGATCCATTGTTCAAAAAACCTTCTGCAGAACTGGGCCGGGGTGGGGGGGGAAGTCCGGCAACAAAAAAGATGGTGCTCACTGCCGCGCGTCTCCTTTGGCTCCTCCGTCAGTGAGTCCAGAAACCGGAACACAAAACCAGGTCCAAGCTGGCTGTCCAGTCACCACTGCGCGTCCCCGCGCCCTGATGCTCCGTTGCCGAGTTCAAATTGTCCCCTAGTATCTTAAGAGAAGCGCCGTCTCCCGTTCATCCCAATCTGGCGCTTCCCACCCTGCGCCGTCCTAGACGTAAACGCTTTAACTACGCTAACGCTGCTTACGTGAAACGGCCGGCTGCTCCCGCCCTTTGGGGCAATCAGCCGCACTCACACCGGAATTCCCAATCAAATCCCATTGGTACAAATACACTAATATACAAAGAGAGAAATCCGGAACTCGGGCATGACAGTTTTGCCTTCCAAATCAAAACGATCTTGCGCTTACTCAAACAAATGCCCGAGGGAGGATTGCAGGCGCTCGGTGCCAGCACGCATCCAGCCGAAGAACTTGAAATCTGAGGAAGTGGCACGGTGCGCCATGGCGATTTAGCGCTGAATTGCGTCGGACTTCAGACTCCAGCCACCCCAATCAGCGATGTGCCAAATGCCGACGCCCAGAGAGAAAGCTGATGTGGCGCCACCTTTCCGCAAGGAGTGATGAGTCAAGTCCGCCACATCGATGGCACGAATGATAGATGCAGCTTGCCGGTACCAGCGCTCCACCGACGTCGAAGTGGGGGCATGGCCGTCCGCGGGCAGCGCCCAGAAAGAAGACTCCTGGGACCGGCGAGGGTGTCCTGCCGCCCCCCAGGCCGCGTCCCGTGCGTGGCGCCAGTCGGAAACCAGACGCAGCAGGGGTAGGCAGCCCCGTGCATCGAATTGGCGGCGGCAGAATTCGAGGTGAGACACTTGCTGGCCTTTCCTTCGGCGCTCCACGAATTCCAGCGAGGTGTCCTGCACGAGGAAGTCGCAGTCGCGCGCAGAGTAGGCTGAGTCTGCACGTGAGAAGAAGATGAAGTCGAGAATTACGACCAGAATCGCTCGGATCTTGGGTGGGGACTGGGGGGTGCCGGCGTAGCTGAGCAGTTCCTCAATTGCATCCGCTGGAAAAGCTCGGACTGGCGTGGTGTACTGGGTCTCGGGGGCTCGGTTTTTCCAGGCGCGGATCAAGGCCTTGGTTAGCCAATCGGAGGCGCAGAAATCGAAGCCTCTCTGACGATGAATAGTGCCGATGGCGGCAAGGTACTGGGGGGCGGAGGTGGGGCGGATCGATCCCTCCGCCTCCAGATAGACGAGATAAGCGTAGACCACCGCGCGCGAGGTCGGGAGGGCCGTCCAGCCGCGGGGGGTGCAGAAATCGGCAAATTTAGCAAACTTGCGGGCCACTCCTGACTGCGAGGATGGCCGTAGAGAATCTTGCAGAGCGGTGATGACTGAATGTGGCTGCGAGGCCGTTAGCTCCGGCCAGTCGAATTGGGGCCCCCAGGTGTGCTGATCCGGAAAGCGCCCACCCTCCAGCGGGGGGCCCCCACTGGGGTCTGGCCGCCCAGGCGACCTGGTAGGAAGGTGTCTGGCGCTGGGGGGAAAATCACGATGTCTGTCGCCATCCGTTGCAACCGGGGGAACCACCGGGCGCTCGGCCAGTAAGGGGCCCCCACCGTGCATTGAACTTGGGGGCGTTCGGCGAGGAAATTGGTGAGGCGAGGAAGGAGCGTCCAGGGTGGGTTCGCCCAATTGTTCTCTGCGCTCCAGTGCGCAAGGGGTTGGGCCAGCGCGTCTATGCCCTCCGTATTCGGCGACCACAGGGCAGAATTGAAACGCTCCACCTGCCGATTCTCGAGCGTTGCGAAGCGGTCCACTGTATGGGGGCCCCACCTGCGGTCCAAGATTCGGAAGAGCCCGCCAATCCGTGGGGTCGTGCGTGCGCGAGAGGGCGTCGGGCACCGCGTTGCTCGCGCTGGGGATCCAGGTGGGCCAGAGGACCACGTCCCGGCACTCGAGGAGCCATTGGAGGCGACGCAGCTCCTCCATCAGCGGGCCCGAAGTCGTCGTCAGTTTCCGAATGACCTGGGCTGTGACCGCCGAGTCCACTAGGAGGCTCACGTGGTGCCCACTGATCTTGTGCACGAAAGACTC